GGGTGGGGGGAGGGGTCAAGCGGGAGGACCTGCCCCTCCCCCCCCACCACCACCTTCTTGGACCATCCCTGAGAAGGTCCTGGAGCAGCGGCCGAAGTTGGGTTGAAGAGTCTCCCGGTTGGGTTGGGGCAAAGGGTCTTCGAGTTGAAGGGTTTCCGGTTGGGTTGGGTTGAGTGGAAGGGTCTCCAATGAGTTGGGTTGGGTTGGAGAGTCTCCGGTTGGGTTGGGTTGGGTTGGGTTGAGTTGACTTGAAGGATCTCCAAGTAGTTGGGATGGGTTGAGGGGTCTCCAGTTGGGTTGGGTTGAAGGGTGTCCAGTTGGGTTGGGTTGGGTTGGGTTGGGTTGAGTTGACTTGAAGGATCTCCAAGTGGTTGGGTTGAGTTGAAGAGTCTCCAGTTGGGTTGGGTCAAAGAGTCTCCAGATAGTTGAGTTGAAGGGTTTCCAGTTGGGTCGGGTTGAAGACTCTCCAGTTCATTGGGTTGAAGAGTCTCCAGTTCATTGGGTTGAAGAGTCTCCAGTTCATTGGGTTGAAGAGTCTCCAGTTCATTGGGTTGAAGAGTCTCCAGTTCATTGGGTTGAAGAGTCTCCAGTTCATTGGGTTGAAGAGTCTCCAGTTCATTGGGTTGAAGAGTCTCCAGTTCATTGGGTTGAAGAGTCTCCAGTTCATTGGGTTGAAGAGTCTCCAGTTCATTGGGTTGAAGAGTCTCCAGTTCATTGGGTTGAAGAGTCTCCAGTTCATTGGGTTGAAGAGTCTCCAGTTCATTGGGTTGAAGAGTCTCCAGTTCATTGGGTTGAAGAGTCTCCAGTTCATTGGGTTGAAGAGTCTCCAGTTCATTGGGTTGAAGAGTCTCCAGTTCATTGGGTTGAAGAGTCTCCAGTTCATTGGGTTGAAGAGTCTCCAGTTCATTGGGTTGAAGAGTCTCCAGTTCATTGGGTTGAAGAGTCTCCAGTTCATTGGGTTGAAGAGTCTCCAGTTCATTGGGTTGAAGAGTCTCCAGTTCATTGGGTTGAAGAGTCTCCAGTTCATTGGGTTGAAGAGTCTCCAGTTCATTGGGTTGAAGAGTCTCCAGTTCATTGGGTTGAAGAGTCTCCAGTTCATTGGGTTGAAGAGTCTCCAGTTCATTGGGTTGAAGAGTCTCCAGTTCATTGGGTTGAAGAGTCTCCAGTTCATTGGGTTGAAGAGTCTCCAGTTCATTGGGTTGAAGAGTCTCCAGTTCATTGGGTTGAAGAGTCTCCAGTTCATTGGGTTGAAGAGTCTCCAGTTCATTGGGTTGAAGAGTCTCCAGTTCATTGGGTTGAAGAGTCTCCAGTTCATTGGGTTGAAGAGTCTCCAGTTCATTGGGTTGAAGAGTCTCCAGTTCATTGGGTTGAAGAGTCTCCAGTTCATTGGGTTGAAGAGTCTCCAGTTCATTGGGTTGAAGAGTCTCCAGTTGGGTTGGGTCAAAGAGTCTCCAGATAGTTGAGTTGAAGGGTTTCCAGTTGGGTTGGGTTGAGTGGAAGGGTCTCCAATGAGTTGGGTTGGGTTGGAGAGTCTCCAGTTGGGTTGGGTTGGGTTGAGTTGACTTGAAGGATCTCCAAGAAGTTGGGTTGAGTTGAAGAGTCTCCAGATCGTTGAGTTGAAGGGTCTCCAGTTGGGTTGGGTTGAAGAGTCTCCACTTCATTGGGTTGAAGAGTCTCCAGATCGTTGGGTTGAAGAGTCTCCAGTTGGGTTGGGTTGAGCTGGGTTGAGTTGAGGGGTCTCCAATGAGTTGGGTTGAGTTGAAGAGTCTCCAGTTGGGTTGGGTTGAAGGGTCTCCAGATCATTGGGTTGAAGAGTCTCCAGTTGAGTTGGGTTGAGTTGAAGAGTCTCCAGTTGGGTTGAGTTGAAGGGTCTCCAGATCATTGGGTTGAAGAGTCTCCAGTTGAGTTGGGTTGAGTTGAAGAGTCTCCAGTTGGGTTGAGTTGAAGAGTCTCCAGATCGTTGAGTTGAAGGGTCTCCAGTTGGGTTGAGTTGGGTCAAAGAGTCCCCAGTTGGGATGATTTGGGTCGAAGAGTCTCCAGTTGGGTTGGGTCGAAGAGTCTCCAGTTGGGTTGAGTTAAAGAGTCTCCAGATCGTTGAGTTGACGGGTCTCCAGTTGGTTTGGGTTGAGTCAAAGAGTCTCCAGTTGGGTTGGGTCGAAGAGTCTCCAGTTGGGTTGAGTTAAAGAGTCTCCAGATCGTTGAGTTGACGGGTCTCCAGTTGGTTTGGGTTGAGTCAAAGAGTCTCCAGTTGGGTTGGGTCGAAGAGTCTCCAGTTGGGTTGAGTTAAAGAGTCTCCAGATCGTTGAGTTGACGGGTCTCCAGTTGGTTTGGGTTGAGTCAAAGAGTCTCCAGTTGGGTTGGGTCGAAGAGTCTCCAGTTGGGTTGAGTTAAAGAGTCTCCAGATCGTTGAGTTGACGGGTCTCCAGTTGGTTTGGGTTGAGTCAAAGAGTCTCCAGTTGGGTTGGGTCGAAGAGTCTCCAGTTGGGTTGAGTTAAAGAGTCTCCAGATCGTTGAGTTGACGGGTCTCCAGTTGGTTTGGGTTGAGTCAAAGAGTCTCCAGTTGGGTTGGGTCGAAGAGTCTCCAGTTGGGTTGAGTTAAAGAGTCTCCAGATCGTTGAGTTGAAGGGTCTCCAGTTGGTTTGGGTTGAGTCAAAGAGTCTCCAGTTGGGTTGGGTCGAAGAGTCTCCAGTTGGGTTGGGTCGAAGAGTCTCCAGTTCATTGGGTTGAAGAGTCTCCAGTTGGGTTGGGTTGAAGGGTGTCCAGTTGGGTTGGGTTGAAGGGTTTCCAGTTGGGTTGGGTTGAGCTGGGTTGAGTTGAGGGGTCTCCAATGAGTTGGGTTGAGTTGAAGAGTCTCCAGTTGGGTTGTGTTGAAGAGTCTCCACTTCATTGGGTTGAAGGGTCTCCAGATCGTTGAGTTGAAGAGTCTCCAGTTGGGTTGAGTTGAAGAGTCTCCAGTTGGGTTGGGTTGAAGAGTCTCCAGTTCATTGGGTTGAAGAGTCTCCAGTTGGGTTGGGTTGAGTCGAAGAGTCTCCAGTTGGGTTGGGTTGAAGAATCTCCAGTTTATTGGGTTGAAGAGTCTCCAGATCGTTGAGTTGAAGGGTCTCCAGTTGGGTTGGGTTGAAGAGTCTTCAGTTGGGTTGAGTTGAAGAGTCTCCAGTTGGGTTGAGTTGGGTTGAAGACTCTCCAGTTGGGTTGGGTTGAAGGGTTTCCAGTCTCCAACAACCACGTGAGGTGGTGGAACCCCTCCCCCTGAGGTTGTCCCCGCCCCCCTTGGTGTCTCCAGGCGCGGATCGAGGAGCTGGAGGAGGAGCTGGAGGCGGAGAGGACGGGTCGGGCCAAGGTGGAGAAGCTGCGCTCGGACCTTTCGCGGGAGCTGGAGGAGATCAGCGAGAGGTTGGAGGAGGCTGGAGGAGCCACCTCGGTCCAGCTGGAGCTCAACAAGAAGCGGGAGGCGGAGTTCCAGAAGATGAGGAGGGACCTGGAGGAGGCCACCCTCCAACACGAGGCCACGGCCGCCGCCCTGCGCAAGAAACAGGCCGACAGCGTGGCCGAGCTGGGCGAGCAGATAGACAACCTCCAGAGGGTCAAGCAGAAGCTGGAGAAGGAGAAGAGCGAGCTCAAGCTGGAGCTGGACGACGTGGGTTCCAACCTGGAGCAGGTCCTCAAGGCCAAGGTGGGTGATGACGTGGCGGGGATGGGGCCGGAGAAGGTCTAAAGGGAGGTCTAAGGGAGGTTGGGTTGGTCTGGAAGACATCAGGTTGGGTTGGAGAAGGTCTAAGGGAGGTTGGGTTGGGTTGGAGATGGTCTGGAGAAGGTTGGGTTGATCTGGAGAAGGTCGGGAGAAGGTTGGGTTGGTCTGGAGAAGGTCTAAGGAAGGTCTAAGGGAGGTCGGGTTGGTCTGGAGAAGGTCTAAGGGAGGTTGGGTTGGGTTGGAGAAGGTCTGGAGAAGGTTGGGTTGATCTGGAGAAGGTCTGGAGAAGGTCGGGTTGGTCTGGAGAAGGTCTAAGGAAGGTCTAAGGGAGGTTGGGTTGGTCTGGAGGAGCTTGGGTTGGTCTAGAGAAGGTCTAAAGGAGGTCGGCTTGGGTTGGAGAAGGTCTAAGGGAGGTTGGGTTGGTCTGGAGAAGGTTGGGTTGGGTTGGAGAAGGTCTGGAGGAGGTCAGGTGGACCTGGAGAAGGTCTGGAGAAGGTTGGGTTGGGTTGGAGAAGGTCTAAGGGAGGGTTGGGTTGGTCT